TGTGACTCGATCACTGATTGCTGCTGCTTGGAAATCCGGTGCCTAGGAAAGAGATCCGTGCCAAGGCCTCTCAACCTGGCCGGCAAAGCGCGGTGGGATCCAGTGCAGGGAAGCTGGAGCTGGAACAATTTAAACTTGAAATGAGATGTAGCTTCCTACCAGGGAGGGTAATTAAGTGTTGGAATAGTTTATCTGGGGAGACGGTGGACTCATCACTGCTTGAAGCCTTTAAAATGAGATTAGTTATCTTTCTACAAGGTATGTTGTAATCCAGCTCGCGTGCGTGTCGCTGCGCCCACACGTGTGTGCGGGGGTCAGGCTGGATGGCACCGTGGGCTCCTGTCATGTAGAAATCCGTGGTTTTGAGAGTCCCTGTTCCCTGCCTGTCCCCGGTCCTGAGCAGAGCGGTGCTGCCGTAGTGCCGAGGACGCGTGTGTCAGAGCAGGACTCGGTGTTAAGGCAGCTTTTGTGCCTTTGCTTTGAGTGGCTGTCTGCAGTGGTCAGGAAGGATTCTTCCCCTGGTGCAAAATTGGCAAAATGTTTTCTGTGGGTTTTTGATCACTTACTGCCATTCCCCCAAGCCCATTGCAGCTGGTGATGCAGTCACTATGGCAAGTGCAATAAGGATCCTGCTTAGGATGACTTGCTGCTATCCCCAGGTAATGTCGAGTGTGGGATTTGGGGTCCGTAAAGAATCTGCCCTGTCTCAAATCAGCAGGGACTTCGGAGTTTTTCTACCATTGGGGCTAGAGATGGGACCATTGCTGGGATCACCTGGACTTCTGTTGTGTAATACTCGCTTTGGGCGTTTGGAGAGGGGACACCTCAGCGTTGCTGTTCTCTGCCTGGGCACAAGTGAGCCCTCGAGGACGGGCTCTTTGGAGACCTGGATTAATCATGGTCTTATCTATCTTGATAATCCTTCAACCAGGGTTATCTGGTTGAAACCAAATGGCTTGTGTTTGGAGTCAAAGTGAGGGATCTGTGTAGCCTGATCGCTGCTGAAGCTCCTGGTTGTGTTTGCATGCACTGGATGCACAGTCCTCATCCAGGAGTGAGAGACAAGTAGGTAAAGGGGAGGGGCAGGAAACATAAAATATCTCATTCCTCCCAGTAGCTCTGTGAAATGCACATACAAAATGCTCGTGATGACTCCAGATAACCTCCCAAGTAAGTACAGGCTTCTTCAAAATCCAGCAGATTTTTGAAGAAACAGCTGCGGTGTTCAGGCCTGTTACAGAGCTGGTTTGGTGCCTGGCGTTAGCTTGGCCATCGTGTTAGGGAAGGACAGGCTGAGAGAAGCGACCGGGGGACAAACACCAGCGTGAGTACGTGACCCGGGTGAGACCTGTGGGACCGGAGCTCTGAGGACGAGACACAGCCATTGAAGAAGGCGGATTTGCTCTTTTCGGAATTGTTTCATTTCACACATTTCCTATTGCAAATCCCATCTAAGGTGTGCAGAATTTTGACAGACTCTGCAGCCATTTCTGGTCTGTGTCTATCCAAGGCGTGCTGTTGGTGGGACATATAAGCAAATATGAAGTGCTCTTCGGGTTTCTGTTAGAAATTTCTCTACAGCCATTGAAGAAGGCGGATTTGCTCTTTTCGGAATTGTTTCATTTCACACATTTCCTATTGCAAATCCCATCTAAGGTGTGCAGAATTTTGACAGACTCTGCAGCCATTTCTGGTTTGTGTCTATCCAAGGCGTGCTGTATAAGCAAATATGAAGTGCTGTTCGGGTTTCTGTTAGAAATTTCTCCGCAAGAGCTGTAAATCTTCAGAGATTTGGTGGAAAGATTGGCTAGAAGCAGAAATTTTGTCTCGAGCTAGAAATGTGCTTTTTGGTGTTCCCTGTAAAATATATTGGGATTGATCTAGGTTTTAGAAGTTGGTTGCTGAAAGATCTTGAAACACATAATCTGCCCCTGGGGCTGCCAAGAAAGCGTGGCCGGATGGCCTCTGCTTTCCTGAGCATTTTGTTTTTCACGTCCCAACTGTATTTCCTCCTAAGTTCCTATTTGTTTGAAACTTTATTGGTAGAGGCCAGCCAGGGGTGAAGAGCAGTCGCTGCAGAGCCTGGTGCCAGTCACCATCCCTGGCAGTGTTCAAGAAACAGGCACCTAGATGAGGCACTTCGGGACACAGTTTATGGCGTGGTGGATTTATGGTTGGGCTTGGTACACCAGGCAGGGTCCCCAGGACAACGTCGCGTTGGAGGACGGAACAGGCCACACGCGTGTGGCTCAAGTCTTGGTAAACTCTATTGTGGCATTTTCCTGCTTCTGGTATCTTAACATTACAATTTTCCCCCTTTAATTCATTTTTCATGAAGTTAAAAGGCAGGTATTTTTCTGAAGAACAGACTTTCTGTGCTTTAAACATGTGGGCTTGGCTTTTCCCCATGGTAGGTTCAGAGCACTTTCCTAGGAAACGCTACAGGAGGAGCTGGACGCTCGTTCTCAGAACGGGCCGCTGTGGAAGAGGCCGGGCAGCACCGTTTGCCACTGGGATGCTCCTCTGTTCCCTGGACACTTGGGCATGCCGGGATTTAGGAGGGCAGGAGGGGCCTGTGCAGGTGTCCACCAGAAATGGGCTGCCAGCGCGTTCCCTGCATGCAGCAGTGCTGCTCCGGAGTGTCTTGTTGGGATTCCTCCGGAGTCTTCCCATGTCTCCTCCTCAAGGGTCTCCAGAGGAGCCTGATGGGGTTCAGCTGGGCCACCGCTGGGTGCTTGGACCCATCTGTGCCTCATTCAGTGTGTTCTGGCTTGAAGAAAGAGGGCAGCCCTTACTCAAAGTGCGGACTGGATGAAAAGGGGTTTTTTGGTGGAGAAGGACAGGTGGTGGCATAAGGAAAATATGGAGCCCGTGTGAATGAGCAAGAGACTGATGTGAGTGCAGCTGCCGCTGGATGTGGCGGCCGTGCGGGTGCCCAGGGGTGCTGAGCCCCACGGGCGGGAGGTGCTGGTCCGTGTCGCACCGTGGGCTCCGAGCCGGAGCGATGGGGCCGCAGACGGGACAGGGCTCGTGGGGGAGCGGGAGGCAGCGGCTCCGTCCCCTGCCCGCCGCGGAGCAGCCCCCGGGCA